AATTATTAAATAAATTAAATATACGGGTACTTTAAAAATTATGTGATTTGATTGGTTAATTATCACGGGCGATCACGGGTAGATCAACCAAAATTAACCAATCAAACGAATGTCGTCCTATGACATGAAATCTAATGGCCAAAATTTCGGCAGCTAGCCAATCAAAATCGAGGATCTGCCGGTCCAATTTTGTTGCGGCAGCTATGGTTAATGGTTAATTCCCTTCTCATCTTATATGCTTTGCCCTTTAGATTAGAAAATCAAAAAAATGTCAAGCACAGGTATGAGAACCCCTTCGGAACTTTCCGACAGTACTAATGAATTTAGACTGAAAAACATAAATGCACTTAATATTTGCTTTGGAGACGGAGCCGACGCAATGTTTGGAGATAAGCCTGATTTTTTATACGAGGCCATTCTTCTTTTACAAGATACGAACAAGGATTTTCTTATAGGTGTCTGGGATAATGATTCCCTTACTGAAGGCTGGAATAGTAAAGAAAGGGCACTAGCTAGTTATATATCAAATGTATTAATAAAAGAGCATGCAAGTGCAGGAAAGCGTGAGAGAGTTACTGACTCATTTGTAAACTATCTTTTAGGAGTTTTAGAATTTAATGTTCACCCTCTTTCCTTGGAACTGAAGGCAGATTGTTATTTCAAAGTGTACAATAAAAAGGTAGCATCGGAAACTGGCTTTTCTATATAGAAGGACAAACTATTTGTGATAGTTGATGAAGACAAGCATTTGAATAATATTAGCAAAGCTACTTGGTGGGGCGAATATCAAATAGCTGGTGAATTATTGGCTTCAGCATTTGTAAACCACGAAAAAATACGAGGAATATACCGTGCTCAATCATTATTTGCGATACGTGTAATTGGGACACGGTTTACATTTTATAGAGCAGAGATTGAATCTAATTACATTACCAGTCTTCATGAGGGATTTCCGACTAATAAAATGTATATATACAGTTATCCAGTGGATCAAATTATAGATGAAGTTCCGTGCTTTGATTATACAGATCCTGGTCAAAGACGAATGATCCTAGATATTTTGATAAGGATAAAATATTTCGTTCTTCAAAATAGAACAGTTTCACGATAGTCACCTAATAGCAAAGCTAGATTCATAATAACTAATAGCACATTGCAATAAAATTTAGCTTCTTTTGATAGTTTCAATCAATCATGTAAAATGTAAGTTTCTTTATGGGGGAATTGCAAATAAGGGTCCAAAACTGAAATAATTACAAATAAGGGCCCAAAATGAAAATAATTACAAATAGAGGCCCAATTTTTGAAAATTTTTACAAATAAGGGCCCAAATATATTGTTAGCTAAAAAAGTCGGGTTAAACTAGACGTTTTAAATTTCGTTATATCGAATTCATTAAATTGCAATTTTGAATGTTACTACGCAAGCATAATTACATGTTATAGAAACTATTTAATACTAAATAATACACAACTATTTTCTTTTTCTAAGTTTTCGACTGTATGTACGTGAATTATGACCTTTTTATTATACCGGGTGTTTGATAAGTTCCTGGACAGGACCTTTTTAGTGATCATTAAATAAATCACAAAATCAATAAATAAATCACTAAATACTGGTATAAAAATAAAAAGAAAACTGATATAAGCAGAGATATAAAAAAGGTCCTGTCCAGGGACTTATCAAACACCCGGTATTTTCCACAAGTAACCTGATTTCTGGTGCCGTTTCTCCACGGCTACGCAACTGAGTTTCGTGGCCATCCTGCTTGTTTAATTGTAGTTGGTAGCAAAGTTTCATTATCAATAACACATGATTCTGCATCAACTGGTTAATGATTCTATAAAAGTTTGACAAGTTGGATCATGAGAAATCAACTTTATT